ACGACTTCCCGGTCTACGTGCGCCGAGCGAAATCAGCGAGACAGCAGCGACCCTAGCGTTGGGCAGCAGCGTGGCGCTGTGGCGCGCGAGCGCCGCAGGCGCGGCCGCGCGGGCGTCGAAAGTCGAAACGTGCGGCTGGTGCAGGAATCGTACCACAGTACACAGAGGTCTGAATCAATCAACAATCAGCACGTTTTATTTTCAGATTCCCTCTGATTTTGGATTTCCGAAGCATCGACTAATGGATGTTTATGTACATGCCTTCGTTGATAGAACAACTGCCTTTTGGGCATTTCATCGAGCACTTGAAGGGCACAGAACACAAAGAGGAAAGGAAACAGCAGATGGGGACCTCATGGCGCTCAGAGATGGAGGAGAAGCCATTGAAACACACCACCGTCCCATCTATGCTAGGAGATTGAAGTGCGAGAGAGAAGAAATGGCAGTTTACCTCGCCGTGAACGCCAGATCGGAGTTCCGGTGTCATCCACGCTCAGTACCGGGTACTCGCTCGGGCGGCCTTCCTTGCGCCGGCTGGGAGACCCGCGCCCGCGCAGGTGGCCTGGTGCTAGGCGCGACGGCGGCTCAGTACCGGGTCAGACGTTCTGGTGGACAGTGCGAGGAGCGGCCCTGGGGCGGACACGATGGAGAGCGGAGGTGCGGGAGGCGACAAAGGACGGAGCGTCGGCGGAGGAAGCGCAGCGCAGCGCCGGGCGTGCGTGCGGCCGGAGCGGCCCTGTTTTTCACATTCCGTGGCAGCGCTGGGGTAGATGAGGCTGGAACTTCGTGGAAGGTTCCATGGCGGCAGTGCTCTGGTGGACGTTGATTGCGAATACGAGGGACAGGAAAAGGAGGCGACGTGGCCTCTCCAGGGAAAAAAAAAGGTGTACAATAATAAGGGTAATGGTAGATTTAACGGACATTTCACAACAACTTTGTAATAATAACGAACGCTTCTAAAATTTCTGTCACATCGAATATTTAGACATATGCATAGAGTATTAAATATAGACTAATTACGAAACTAATTACACAACTTGCGACTAATTTGCGAGATAAATCTTTTAAGCCTAATTAGTCCATGATTTGACAACATGGTGCTACAGTAAACATGTGCTAATGACAGATTAATTAGACTTAAAAAATTATCTCGTAAATTAACCTCCGTCTATGTAATTGATTTTGTAATTAATTTATATTTAATACTTTTTATTAATATCTAAATATTCGATGTGACATAAATTTTAATAGCCACTACAAACCAAACGCCCCCCGATTTATGTTTTCTACGTACTAGTGCCTTTTAATGGAGAGATGGGCCTAAATTCGTGGGGCCGTGGGCTAGGCTCACATCACTGGTCGTCCCAAGGCCCCCATAAACCCAGACTAGCCAAATCCGTCCTCTCAAAAAAAAAAGCCTAATCCGAGAATCCCACAGTGGGCCCCTGTTGACAGCCCCACGTACGGCCCCTCCTTCCTATGCCCGCCTCCCCAAGCAAAGGGAGACGAAAGCTGAAACGGCGTCGCGGCTCCCCGGGGTCCACACACAGGCGGTGGTGTGGTGCCCATGGCTTCGTGGCTGTTGCTCCCTCTCCCCTCCTTCCCGTGGCCTCCCCCGCCCCCGCCCGGCTCCTCCTCCGGCCGCGGCGGCGGTGGCGGTGGCGGCGGAGACGGCGGCGATTGGAGGCCGAACGTCGTCGCGGCCTTCGCCGGCGCGCAACTCGGCCGCTCCCTCCGCCGCCGCTTCGCCGGTCTCCTCCGCTCACCGGTACTGTGCCTCGCCTCACCTCGCCTTCCATTTCGTTCTCACTTGGGATGCAGACCATGGTATCGTTTACTTTAGTCTGTTCCCAACCAAACAGGCCTTCTTAGTCTGTTGTTGACTGAGCCCTCTAGCGCCTTGTTGATTGGATGGAGATTTTTTTTCGTGCTTGATAAAAAAAAGAAGTTAATGTCAAGTGAACCTTGCAACTCTAGGAGGTGCGGCATCTTGATGCCTTGCGGAAAATGGGTGACTTCTGGTTCGAAGGATCAGAACCGTTTGCAACATTCCCAATTCTTGGCGCGATAGGGAATGTGCTCTCTGCACCTTATGTTTGCAGCTCTGCTCTGTTCAGTTGGAACGGGTCAGGGGGTAGATACATCAGTAACGGAAAGTTGTTGTCCAGACGGCCTCGTGGGATCGATTCGAAGAAGAGGCTCTGGACTAATGTCCTTCTTGTTCTTAATGTCCTGTAAGTCAGTGGTCAGTTTAAGTTTCTGCGATAGTAGCTCCTTTCCTTTGGTACATTTGTTGTTTAACACCCTTTTGCTCTCAACAAAGGGCTTATGTCGCTCAGGTAGCATCACAAGGAAAGCTTCTTATGTGGGGAGCCAAGGTTTGTGTCTTGGTTGGAATTTCTAGTTCAGTTACCTGCTGTCAATTTCGTTAACCTAATGCAGTTATGACCATCATTTGCGATGAAAGATCAACAGTCTGATTGATAGAGGGCAATTTTGGCGTTTGGCAACATCATCTCTACTTCATGCAGATCTCACCCACCTTGCAGTATGTTTTTATGTTTGAAATGAGTTTTATATTTCATAGAAAAAATATTAGCTAACTTCCTACCTGTTGTCTGTTGCCATAATGATGCAGTTCAATTGTTTCTCTTTGAACTCTATTGGGCCCATGGTTGAAATGTTAACTGGTCCTAGAAGATTTCTAGCTGTTTATTTCAGTTCGGCGCTGGCAGGTGTTTGTTCTTAACCTCTTTTGGATTGGATGGTAGTGCCCTGATCTTAAGTTATCACTGTTCTTAATCAATTCTTGGACTTCAATAGGTTCACTGATGAGCTATCGCTGTAGCGTGTCACCTGCTGTTGGTGCGTCAGGTGCCATTTTTGGATTGGTATGTCTACTTCTCCTCGCACTTGTGCCCGTTACCCAGTGCCAGAATCATGTTACCCCTATAGTGTGGTATAATTCACTAGCAACATGAAACTACAAACTACTCCATCCGTTCCAAATTATAGTTCACTTTAGATTTGTCATAAGTCAAACGTATCTAACTTTGACCAAGTTTATAGAAAAATACATCAACATCTACAATATCAAATTAGTTTCATTAATTTCTCCATGAAACATGTCTTCATAGTGCACTTATTTGAACTTATAGATGTTAATTAACATATTTTTTTCTGAAAAAATGGTGAAAGTTAGCTAAGTTTGACATAGGAGTTAGGACAAAGCTTAAGTGAACTACAACTTGGAACGGAGGGTGTAATTCGTAACTTCTAAATGGCTGGTATGATATTTCTTTGTAACTCCTCAAAATTGCACATCTTGACTGAACAGGCCTGAAACATGATTGATTTTGTAGTTTCTGTTTGTGCATTTCAGAGTTTTCTTTCTTATGTTTACCACATTCATATTTTGTGAACAAAGCCTTGGTCTTGTCCTATTGAAATATGAATTCCCTGTCCCTGATACAACTGACCATGAAAGTGTTTACATCAACTTAATCTGCATGATCAGGTTGGCGCACATGCAGTTTATATGTGGAGACATAGAAGATTCTTTGGGAATTCTAGGGAGAGTTTAGAACATATTGGGCGTGTGGTTGTCCTGAATATGGTATTGCTCCACTTTTTCCTGCTTATTTCATTTCGCCTTTGTTTCAAAAATATTCTTTGTTCCATCTGCAACATTTTTTTTTCCATAGGGTATGGGCCTCCTCTCAAGGGGAATCGATAACTGGGGCCATGTAAGTCTCTCGATTTTCTACGCAGTACATTTTACAATATGAATGATCTAGCTCATTAGTTCACTTGAATACTGACAGCTGGGAGGCTTGCTTGGCGGAGTTGCCATGGCATGGTTCCTAGGTCCGGCATGGCAATATCAGTATGTGGCAAAGGATGGTAGAGCGGTTTTCAAAGACAGGGCTCCAGTTCTCCGACTAATAAAGGGGTAGACTTGTGTTGTTTTGTATGTACTTACGAGGGTATTCGTGAAAATAGTGTGGAAGAGAAGCAAAAGGGAGAATGGTGAAGATTCAGACATACGCCGAGCAAGGGAGTGGCAAAAAACAATTGACTTTTAACTAGTTTGGGACTTTGGGTGTCGAAACATTTCACTGCAGAGCTAATTTCTGAGGAAACACACACGAGGAGCTTATTGTTTTGTTCGGATCGTGGCAATTGTTAAATCTTCAAAGCTGAGACGGGTTGGGGCCTGTCAATTGTATTTTGTACTAACCATAAGGATCTACTGTCAAGTTCTGACCTCGGACAACTGTTACTAGGTTTCTTCTGGTCCTGTATTGCACGAGATGATAAAATATGTAAAGAGTACTCAGCGAACAACGATCCATAAGTGATTAAGATATTTGTTGTAAGAGCATATATATATATATATATATATATATATATATATATATATATATATATATATATATATATATATATATTGCCCCAGCAAGATTTTAGGACCAGTGCAAAATACTCAGCTTGGAAGAATTCATAGGGCGTATCATCATGTACGTCAATTCACAAAGCACAAGGTAATGTGTCACTGTAAGCATCATTGAATCAACGCCAGGGATAAACTTCCGAATTTCCGATGGAACCATAACACTTCTTCTCTTAGCTTCATGTCTATCTAGACAACAAAGAGGCTAAATCAGCGTTGATTAAACGCTCGACGCACAATAGAACAAACGAAATCTTGCATGGAAATTGTATGTCGTATTATGGATTTATGGTCAATACGTTACAAGAAAGTAATATTGCAGAACGTGGACCCGAGTAAGGTCCTTACATTCTCCTCTATCTAAGCTCCCAACCCTTCGGTGAGAACTTAAAATTGATAGAGGCATAGGGCGTAGGGCAGCCACCTTCGTGGCGTAATACCCTGGTTAATTAGCATGATATAGACCTATATCTAAAGTTAACCTGACCTCAAAAGCTTTAGAATTCATCATAAAGTTACAGTCAATAAACAAAGCCTGATGTTTGCATCATAGCCCATGATTGCGATTCATGGTTATGCTTGAAGCAAAATTGTGACCTTGTCTTCTGGCCAGATTTTCCTGATGACGCATGACCAACAGTCGAAGCAACCCAGGTATCCAATCAAGCATAACTTCAAGTGTGAAGGAGACCTGCATATTGAGATACAAATAAGATAAACTTCTCAAGAAACCACATAAGGATTGTGGACTCAAAGCAAGCTGAAGATTCATATATATACGAGAAAAAGAAATGTGAATCCAACTAGCACTAGGATATGTTTTGAAACATTGAGTTATACAAATGTAAGGTCACATTGACAAAGGCAAGTGGAGTAAAATAAACTAAATGTCTAACTGTGGTTGCAGATCGATCCCCATGTTAGTAGTGACAGAAACTAAATGTCTAAATAATATTAATGCTAAATAAATTGTTGTGATCATTAATATTCTAAAGCAACTATCTATGGCCTTCGCCACCGAATAAGAGTTCTAACATTAAGAAAACGGCAAAATGCTATAGAGATAAAATATCAAGAAAACTTACCATATGGCGATGGCGCAATTGAAGAGGACTTCGATGTTCTGCTATTCCGTTTTTTCCTTGGAGGCATCGAATGTTGAGACACTGGTCGTGGGGGTGAAGGTGTTGGCATCATTTGAGAAGTAGGTCCAGAGACTGCCTTTGGAAAATGATTGGAATTAGGTAAGGGGCGAGGAGGATCTATGTGAGCAGGCGGTGGATCTGCTGGATGAAGGTATTTTGGCGGGGAAGGCATTAATGGAGGTAGCCTGGGGTCTCTAACAATGCAAGGAGGTTTTAGCATTGAACTACCAGCATGAGAGGGATTAATACACCTAAAACATGGAAAGCACGGGTGTCTGCGCCATGAAGGAGCTAAAGCTGGACGAGGTGCAGGGTAAGGGATGCTCCCAAATGGTGACAACAATGGTGGCATGCTTGGAGAAAGTGATTGTGAAGGCGATGGAGCCGGAGCCGGAGATGGGCTAGGAGATAAATCAGAGATTTTGTGTTGTAAGTACGATGACAGCTGAACACCCTTTACTTTACCAAATACAGAGTGATTAAGCCCAAGATTCCTCGCATCAGGTTCTCTGATTAACTGAGCTAGTTGTCTCAATCTATCTGGTAAAAGATTACTGCTTCCATCTAATACCGATGCCACAATAGTTGCTGGAGCTTCAACTGAAGAACCAATCTCATTCCTGAACTGCAAATATATTTTCTGCAAATATGACAATCAGTGAGAATCAAATTGGAGCAACTGAGCCCTTTAAATATGCCACAACCTCAGTAGAAGAAACAAAACCATTAATACCTCGTATGACCTTAAATTTAATCCAAGTTTCAGCTGATCCTTGAGCTCTGTAAGATTACCCAAAATCTGATAAATGGAGCTGTTCAACACAAAGTTGAATAGGGGGTCTGTGTTCGCCCATGTAAAACCAGACTGTGCAGGAATGACTGTAATTCCTCCAGGGAATCTCAACAGCTCGAAAGAAGATGGATGCCCAAAAAGTGATGGTGTCAAGGACAGGTTCACCTGCTGGAGCATCATCTCTATTAAGGATGATCTCAGCACACTTAGAGCCGGCAAACTTATTGAAGCATCTTTTGGATAAGGAAGAACACCAAAAACAACATGTGTGGAGTATTTAGAAGTTAAATGGTGCATTGAAACAATGGAAACCTGCAAAAAAACATATTCTAATCAGCAAACACTGCAGTCAAAAGAAATTTGAGGAGAAAAAAAAGAGAGAACAGGCATCAGGCACCTTGCTATTAGGTACACCAATCTCTTCAAATATGTCATTCCCTAGTTTGTCTATGTGAGAAGTAAGGAATGACACTGGCTTTTCCAAAGTGAAACCAACTTTGATTTCAGCTGAAACAAAGGAGATGATCTTTATCAACAGACATCACAATGCCTCATCAACATGTGACTGTAAGTGTGAAAAAGGGCAATACCCTAAAAGTACAAAAACATATAATAGCATTTTTTTTTTAAAAAAAAAAAAACAAGAGCACACACAGGTTCTAGGGAAAATTTTGCGAAGTCAGAAAAAAATAAATGAAACGAAATGAAATGTTTGATTACATTATCTACTGAAACAGTGAAGTAGAAGGTAAATAAACATCTCAGCAACAAACAGGATGAATCCTCCATGAATAAAATAATGAGCTTCCTATGAAAATTAACTGTTGGTTTCTGCTGATGGGAACATAAATAGGATATAAAGAAATTCACTTAATTATAGTAACAGTGCCAGCAAACAGAAAGGACTGGATCAGTAGTTCAAACAATTACTAGTAGTAAGAATGTAAGATGCACAGGTTCAAGATTGAAGGAGGGACTTCCCTCATGCCTCAGCGCCCAGTAGGAATAGAAAAACGTAAACAGTGGGGACAGTGAACAAGGGATTGTCGGGGTCCAGTATCCAAAAATTGTAAACACATATTAAAGATACTATATATCAACAATTCAACAAAGAACATTAAAATACATTCTAATCATGGTTTCAAAGGCAACTAGGTGTCCAGGCGAGTGCTGGGTCTGCCTGGACGCCTAGGTGACAAGGCGTCATTGTTCTCCAAGGCGAGGGGCCTGGATGCCTAGGCGACACCTTTGAATCAGGGATTCTAATATTAGATTTGGCTGGAAATATTTGGAATACTTTTATCCTATCACCTAAAATCTCCAGAATTTAGAGGGTCGGCGTGCTTAATATCTTATGTTTCTTGAATCTAGTGATAAAGGTTTGAGAATTGAAACTGAGGTCGTAAGCCTCCCTCTCTCCTAACCATGTATGCCATCACAATGTTGAGCTGAAGCAGACATGTTTGTCAATATCCATTCACCATAGATATACAACATCTACATCTAAACACATCACAACATTTGGGATCTAGTTTTGAACAAAGTAAATTAAAATCTGGATCTTACAAAGTACCAGTACAATCCCAGACTCCTGTTATACTCCCTCCAGTCCAAAATACTGTCACATTTGACTTTGCATGGCCTATGATGTGTATCTTTGATCACTAATTTCTTCTAGAATATATTCTTAAAATACTTATTAAGGGATTTTGCAAGTATTTTGTATACAAATCTACACATATAACTTAGATGTTTCCAAACTAAATAATGTGATATGGTTTAGTTTGACCAAATCTTGTCCTAAATGACATGATTTCATGACTGGAGGAGTACCAAAAATCACACATCTAAGAGGACAAACAGTACCCTCAAAATCTATACACTGCAGCACCAGAAAACAGATGAAAAAGCATATGTTACATGTTAACATACATAGACAAGAAGAAGGTCTTCATATGTACCAAGTTGATCCAGCCATCCAGGTCTAGCATCTTCAGAGACATTGGGTGAGAGAATTTCTGGAATTTTGGGATCTAGTTCAAAATTATACGGATTCTAAAAGCCAACTTCCACCCGAAAAGGTAGTTCAATGCCATTTCAGGGCCCCCACATCAATTTGGAATTAAACTTGCAAGTGGTAAGCAGGTGATCCAAAGCCAACAATATAATTCAGAACTTTAAAACTACAATATGGTGAGCACATAACTAACCAGACACACTCCCTGACAGTCGCACCCGGAGCATGAAACGACGAAATTGACTAGGAAATCATGCGAATCCTAGCTCAACGGAGGTGGAATCGAAGAATCCTGCACCCATGCTGCGATCTCGAAGCGGTAATTTGCCAATCGACCCTATCGATCCGCCTCCCCACCACATCTAAAACGGAAATCACAACTTCCGAGCTGCCCCCAACTAAACCCACGAATCCCCAAACCCTCGCACCAACGGCTATCGCAACACAAGTCGCAAGGGCCCGAGAAATTACCAGAGAGCACGTCGTGGTCGTCCGAGAGGTACCCCAGCTCCTGGCGCGAGGGCACGAGCAGGAATAGGGCCGGGACGAGCACCCCCGCCGCGAGCACGAGCACGAAGACGCACCGGAACGAAACCGCCCGCCCGATCGCGCCGAAGACTCGCCCGCCCCATGGGCCTCCGCCTCCGCCTCCGCCGCCGGCGATCTCGAGGCCTCCCGCGCCACCGCCGAGCTCCACATCGACGGGCTTCCCCATTCCGAGCGCATCTGATTTGCTCGCTAACCCCAACGCTCCCCAAGTCCTCCTCCTCCTCCTCCTCCTCCTCCTCACCACCACCACCACCGCCGTGCCCGTCACAGACGGACCCGCGCCTGCGCCTACGATCTAGTGAGTTGCGCCGGCGCCGGTGCCCGGGTCCCTCGCTTCAGCTTCCGCTTCCGCTTCCGGCCGGTGCGACTGACCAATAACTGTCGGTTTGGGTTGGAGACGGACGCTCCTCGCGTTTTGGTTTGAGACTTTTCTGTGCCATTATAAAAGATTGAAATCTTACAAAAATTTAGCGGTCTTCAGTGCCACTAATTTAATTTTTTTTGGTCTTCTATGCCACTTCCGTCAGTTCAGCCTCTAACGCCGTCAAACTGCAGGTGTGAAAAGACAAAAATACCCTTAAATTCAAATATGTTATTAATTTTTTTTAGCATCTTAACGACTTCAAATGAAAAAACTCAAAACTAGAAAGTTGTAGATCTCGTCCAGATCTATAATTTTCATATAAAATTTGTTTTTATTTAATTCCTCAAAAAAATTATGATTTGATATGATTAATATATCTTAGAAAAATCATCATATTTTTTTGCGGAATTAAATAAAAATAAATTTTATATGAAAATTATAGATCTCGACGAGATCTACAACTTTCTAGTTTTGAGTTTTTTCATTTGAAGTCGTTAAGATGCTTAAAAAAATTAATAACATATTTGAACTTAAAGGTATTTTCGTCTTTTCACACCTGCAGTTTGACGGCGTTAGAGCCTGAACTGACGGAAGTGGCATGGAGGACCCAAAAAAATTGGAGTAGTAGAGTTGAAGACCGCTAAATTTTTTCAAAGACACACAAAGAATTTCGATCTTTTATAATGACACAGAGGAAAAAGTCTCTTTTGGTTTTCCTTTTCTTTTCCTGCGACGCTACTCGACCGACGTGGGCTCTCGCTGTCAGTCTCGGCAAAATAAGCCGTGCGCTCTCGCTGTCAGTCTCGGCCAAATATGCGGGAGAAATTCGCATTTCCCCCTCTTGGCGTCTTTTCGCTTGCTTAGTGCGTAATCCAGGCGGCATTATACCGAAAAAAATATTCGTGCTCGTCTCGTTCAGGCGTCGGGCTCAGGGAGCCTTTTCTTCTTTCCATTCCAAATTGCGAGTTCCAACTTGCCACGAGGGAAAATCCCACCGCTCCTCGCCAACGCGGCGCGCATGTGCTGACAGGTGGCTCGCCAGGGCACCTGCCAAATTTTTTCTTTTCGTTTCCATTAAAAAAATGGTCCCTTGTCAACTGGGAGGGCTCGTGCACACTTGCACAACGCCGGTTGGTGCACCTAGCTTGAGAGTTGAGCCCGGCTTTTCTTAGTCAGGACCGAGTCTAGGTCGGTCTCAACCAGAGTTTTATCTTATTACTTTTAAGACTCCTATGTGTTAAAAATATTATAGATAAGTTTCATCTTCATAAAACTTATTTTCATCACATAAAAGTTTTTATTAAAAACTTATTTAGGAGTACTCATGAAACTCCCAGGAAACTGGCTTTAGATTTGGCCTTTTGAGTTGTTTTTTCTTGCTATGGCTGCTAGTTAGTGGATTCATACAAGATTTGTCATCTTGGTTAGGTGGACTGATAATTTTGTAGTTCCAGTCTATTAGTTGGAGAATGTATAACTTATTGTGTGGTCGCCTGGATTGTTTACGGTTTATAGATTTATATTAACAATTGTGTAATCCAATTCATTGAAGAATTGGACTCCATACCGTTACTATACGCATTCACAGGAGCACAGGTCGTAAGTACTAGTCATGTATAGCATAGGAAGGGGTGCAAGGGTATTGTGGAAAGTAAAAATAGAAGGTTGAAAGAATACCTTTTTTCTCTTTAATATTAGGGATGTATTACGAAATATGTTTTTCATAAGAAACCTATTTTGAGATATAGATGTTGATACTATATTTTATAAACCTGCTATTGATTGCATCATTGAAAAGCCAATAGAAATATTTCTAAAAACAACCTAGACTTGGCATAGACCTACAACTAAGGGTAGTTTGGATATTAGATGCCAATTGTTATATAGCTGCTAAAAATAGCCCTAAGAGGGCTAACATTGGGCTAAAACTTAGCCAAGCTCTTGGCTAGTTGTTAGCTTATTAACTAAGCATAAGTCACCAACGAGTGTTGATAGTTCATTGCTACGGATGTATGCACATAGGGTCTTTTTGTTGCATGAACAACACCTTATGCAAACCTAAGTAGTGCAGTAGATCCTTGTTTGGTTACCTGCACAGGCCCATATGTAAGCTAGCACTATCCTCAAAGCAAGCTTAGCTTGCATCCCACAATTCGGCCAAATTATGTGTATCCAACTATTCACCCTTCCTCCTCTGCTTTGCAGCCCAAGACACATTCTAGCCCTTTACACACGAAAACCAATCACACGCATAACACTGTACAACTTCCTATCTAAGCCGAATAACAACAAATTGTATTACCTTGTCTATTTTAAGGGTATGCTTTATAGCCTTAATTAATACAATGCATACTAATGCAAGTAACCAAATCATACCATATTAGCTAGGGATCCAAATATGTATTGGTTAATAATTAGTTGGATAATATTTAGCTCCAACTAAAGGTTAGCCTTTGGCATGCACTGTTTGGATCTGCTAGCAGCTAATAGTTAGTTGGCTAATAGTTCACAACTAGCATTAACTAGCTAACTATTATATGGATGTTGTTTGGATCCACTAGCTAAAAACTAGATGCGTAGATGGTTATGTCTCTAATGCCATTCCTTTTCGGTTTGCTATTGGGAAGACACGTGGATAGAGGTCGGGAGAACAAATGTGTCTTCTTGCAATGTACTCTAACCGGACAGATGGAGTATTAGCTAGTTGGGATAACCAATGAGATATTATTCAGTACATTCTAAATTATAAGTCATTTTGTCTTTTTTAAGATACATAGCTATCTTGGCATACCGTGTATCTAGATGTATAACAAAAACTGTGCACTTAGAAAAGCCAAAACGACTTATAATTTGGAATGTATGGAGTACTAATTATCATCTAGACGCTTAATAACAATTAGTTGAACTATTAATTAGTCTGGTTGAATTCAAACCGCTAATTTTACTCCTATTAGTAGGGATGACAACGGGTCGGGCAAGGTGAAGGTGGAGGAAAAACCCACCCTCAACGACGCCCATGATATTGGCCGCACCCGCCCTCAAAATGATGCCCACGAGTGCAATGTCACACCTCAAGCACTTTCATGAGTCTTGGATCACCATGAGTGTGTTAATAAGAAGATATAAAAAATATAAATTTTGAGACAAAATAACACATAATTAAAATTATCAGTGTACTGTAGGGACCCCATGGTTTTTGTTGTAAAAAATGAATCCACAACAACTTAAATCTAGTCTAGTACATACTAGGTAGACAACACAGTCCATACAAATCATCCTAAGTTTACGTAGACTTAGAGTCAAACATTAGTTCTAGATCTCTAATTGGAGGGGGAAATAGGAAAACATATGTTTCGGGCCTCGTAGGTGAAACCTGCACCCGTACCCGCACCCGACCTATTAGGGCAGTCACAACCTAGAAACTATGAGATATTTTCTGTACTTACCAAGTCATGTAGACATTACACGTAGAAACTTTATTTCTAGTAGATGATTTCTTTAAAATAATTTTTGTCCAACCATATATCTTCTCTTTCCTCTCATTTATCTATCACATCTCTTGATATCTTGATTATAGACATAGCTTTTGGTCTTTATATGAGACTGTGCTTAGCTAGTGGATCCAACAGGCCCTTAGTCAATCCATCTTGAGGGCACAAATAATGTATACAGGTGAAAGTAGTCTATATAGGTACGTCCCACGTAATGGTCCTTATTAGTTGTTCATGTACCCCTGCAATGTTACGGTCCAGATGAACTTTACAAGTGAGCTAGCTAAAAATAAAAGAAGCAACTCAGCCATTCTTCTCTCTTGCCCCGATGCCTCCCTTCTTTTTCCACGTCTGCCGTGCATACAATGCAGTCGTCCCCATATCTTGTGTCTTGTGTGTCTACACCTCTCTCCATAGCTCCACCCAATCGAGTCTCAAGACCTTGGACTGACTTCTTTCCTTGCCAAATCGACCTCTACTGGATTGAGATCCTCCAGCGACAAGGACCTCCGAGGAGACATCTTCCAACGACAGTCACCTCCGACAAGAGGGCGAAGGATGGGAAGAGGTGCCTCGTTCCAGCACCCACCAACGGAAGACATGCACATGGCTAGGTGGTTTCTGGCGACTGCATCGTCGGCTCCGATGTCCTGCTCCTGCCACCGCTGCAATAGCGTAACACATAGTTGAATGGTTGTACGCTCGAAAGCTAGGAAGGGATGAGCATTGGCGGGCTCCCTGCCATCCTCGCCGGCACAACCACTCAAGCGGACGCATTGCTTCTGAAGCATCCTAGATTTAGAAGTGGAATTTTTGTTTTTGGTATGGGCGATTCAACATAAAGAAGGTCGGTTTTGATGGATAAAGTGTTGATTTGAGTGGGTGTGAGCTCGACTCGGTTGTGGTGGCAGCGGCTAGGCCTTATGGCGGTGATATCCGATGGTGAGCCGATGACGCACCTGCAACATCTCTTGGCGTCTACACAAGCGTCGCGAACACAATAATTAATGGACATAGTAAGCGGGTGAAATGTAGCCCCGAAGAGGGAAAAAATATTTATATGTTGCTTAGGACCTGCCCATAGTGTTATTAGGGCCTGTTTGGTTCCAAATAAGTCACCTACTTATAAGTTAAAAAGTGAAAAAAGTGACTTATTTTGCCAAACACCACCAACTTATAAGTCACCCCTGCTTATAAGTTTTAAGTTGGTTCACCCCTGCTTAAAACTTATAAGTCACCCTTTTTCGCGTGGGGCCCACACATTTAATGAGCTTATAAGTCATTTACAACCAAACGTGCATGACTTATAAG